TCACTCAGATACTGTTACTGGATAATGTAATTTAATGGTGTGTTATGGAGGGCCTTGTGGGGCCTCCTCTAGGCCAACCCCCCCCCATGCAGAAATTGCAGAGCTAGATAGCCAAATAGATGCCTGTCTAGAATTTCCTTGAAGATCTTCAGAACCAGAACCTCCATTAACTGCAGTGTGTTTAATCTGCATCACATAAGAGCCATCTGAAATCACATGGCAGATAAAATAGAGATACTGGAGCAATTTCCTAGAAAGAGCTGAAAAAACTAAATATGGTATGTTCAAATGATATGTGGAGACTAGGCAGCATTGATCAGTCAATGACAGACAAACACTGTCACAGAAATTTGGAATCAAATAGCCCACTGAAAATCCTAATGCATTCTAGAAAATATTTCAAGCATTTTGGTGGGCCATATTTCTACCTGCCTGATTCTGCCATCTTCAAATGCCAGATGGTATTTCCTTGTATTTCCTTCAAATACCAGGAAAACAAAAGAGGTCTGTTGAAAAATTGCTCTAAGTTAGAAATAACTAGATGCCTTCTAGACTCAAATTCACACTTAACAACAAGCCATTTTCCTTTGAACTTCCTTTCCTTTGGAGGGAGATCTAAACACATCCAGGTCTTTAGCTGAAAATATACACTGTTCAAATTCCAGGATCAAAATATCTGGGTGAACTTATACAGCATCCTCCTACAAATGGTGAGACTGTAATTTGGTTTTATATAAGCAAAGGCATATCTAACATCACACCTGATCTAGCCAAGAAAAAAATCATTAGCAGTTACATTAACCACCAGTACAGCAGCTTTTAAACTACTATGTGTGGTCGCTTCACATTGTGTAATTTAAAGTAAAGAAGATGGGTATCAGAGAACTCCAGCAGCTGATGGAGTAGAAGGTCAAATATCGTAGATGGTGGTGATCATTACCAGTAAGAGTTGCCCTTGAACAAAGTTTGAGAGGGCAGTCCTACACAGATGATAACTAGCTTATGATTCAGAGACTAATGATCATCCAGTGTAAAGTGGCAGTGGTGACAGTAGCAATCTTTGTCTCTATGGCCCTCCTACCTTGCATTTTCCCTACATGGCTGGGTTGCTTCAGAGGGAGGAAAGGAAACTGCAAAGATCCCAATATATGTTGCACCTTGGCCTCTGCAGTTCCTTCCCCAATCACAAAACATTTCCTTTATTTCCTCTCAAAGGGTGAGTTCCTCACCTTGAAGAGGCAGCTGGAACAGTTCCTTCCATGCCAACTGGGAGGCAGGAGGGGTGCCAGGGTGGCATTCCCAGAACTGAGGTAAGAGTTCTGCCTCCAAAGTGTCCTGTGCTCCCTGAAGTCACTGTCTAGGCATCACGGGATCGCTCCTTTGGAGCAACAGGGCTAACACAGGTTTCATAGGGCACAAAAATAATGTATTTGTAACCTTGGATGACATACACAGGAACAAATAGGAATTAAAATTCTGTTGTGAAATGAAATGTGTGACTAAATGCTATGGAAAGCTTTCCTACTGGCTGTAGATGTACTATTTCTGAAAATGATGCACTGGATAAATAGTGCTTAGAGGAGAAGGATGACCACTAATTATGCAATAACTGCTTTAAAAGTAGCCAAATAGACTCTTGCCTGTGGCTTCTGACCACATGCTAAAAGCAAGGACTGCCAAGCTCCTGAAATGGTTTGATAAATGGAAGGAAGAAAGAAGTTTGCTGAAGACTAAACTGGAAGAATGCAAACAAGTTTCAGTGTATCTCCCTTTCTGAACCCTATTGAAATCTTCACTTTATTGGTAATGTCCTGTTTAAGATAACTTGAGGAGCTCTTCAGAGGAAAAATACACAAAAGCAGTTTTTCCCAAGACAAAGACAGTGTCTTGAATCCCACAACTGCTCAAAATTGCCTAACTTCAGAGCTCTCAAATATCCCAAATTGCATATGGTCAATCTCAAATTATCCAGGTGTTTAAGATACTGGTTTGATATTATTATTTGAGATATGCACCACCACAAGACAACTTGGACCCCAATTCAATAGCTTGGAATTTGCCTGATGCAGCTCTGACCAATTTGGAACCTATCCATTCCAACTTCAGTTCTGAGCCCGGGGTGGGGGGGATGTATTTATTTATTTATCATTTTTATTTGATATGCAGAAAAGAAAAACAGAAGCACACTCACACAGCAACGACCAGAGATGAGTTAAAGCAACCTTGACTATTACTAATAATATACATATACACATACTCATACACGCACATGTATACAAAGTTTCTGTTTCACATCACTTTAGTAATGTGCATAGTTTATACACTTATGTCAGAATGAGTATTGAGATGAAGTTGTCATTGGTAGTACATTCTCCCATAGGATGCCAGTGTTGTGAGATCTTCAGTCCATTGCATGTTAATTCAAAGCTCTTTTTTGTCTCTCTTTGGCTGTCATGGAAAATTAAAGGAAGGCTTTGACAGAAATAGATAGCATTTGAAAGTGTAATAAGAGATTGTGTCTACCAAATTTCAGAAAAATGGATGGAGCATGATTTGTGTCACTAATCTTTATATTTTTATTTTTGTTATTGAGAGAACTGAGAACATCTTAATTTCTTGGTAGAATTAGTTGAAATTTGCAAGAGTTAATGCTCTTCTGAGCCCTGCCAAATTTCAGATGAATACTTGCAGAAGCCTTTGTGGAAGAACAGCTTTTACATTTTCAACGTATCTATGAAAGGGCATGCCTAGGAGTATTGATAGGCCTATGCATAATGTCCCCCCAGCCAGATTCCTGGATCTGTTCCCTAGAGCCTTGGATATACATCAGTGCCAGTAGATTTTTTTTTCCCAGCGAGTGGGGAGATGGCCACGATCGCAGTTGCTTTCGTGCAGGGAAGGCATGCGTGATCAGAGGCGCGCTGTTGCAGGAAAGACGGGAGCAGCAAAGCAGAGCCGTGGGGGAGATGGCCAAGATTCTGCCTGTCTTTCCTGCAGGAGTGCGCCTCTGATCAGGTACACCTTCCCTGCATGAACGCAACTGCGATCACGGCCGTCTCCCCACTCTCAGCACACAGTTTGCGCCCATCTTTCCCTTCCCCAGTGCACCCGCGATCAGGCCCATCTCTCTTCCCCACCCCCCAGCACGCTGGAATGAAGGGCGCCCACAGGGATGACAGGCACGATCTCGGTCATGCTGGCGGGGGGCAGGGAGATGTCCGCGCTTGTGCTTGGGGGGGGGGGGGGGGGGGAGATGTCCGCAATCTCTGTTGTTGTCACTTTGCTTCACATTTTTCTGATTTAAAAAATGGTTACAGAATGGATTAACCTTATTTACTTTGAACCTTATGGGGAAATTTAACTTGGCTCACGACCAATTTGGGTCTTGACTAGAGTCCTGGAACGGATTAAGTTCGTGAGCCAAGGTACCACTGTATCTCCCTACATGGCAATTACATTTATGAAAAAAGCTTTATCTATTGGCTTGGGATGAACTGAAGCAAGGTTTAAATTATTTAAATAATGTGCTTTATTTGAGAATATTTGAATGAAAAAATGAATTGGCTGCTGTTCATTTTAAAAGCACCCTAATAATTATTTCTACATTTGGGTATATTGGAAATAAATCAGCATTTGTGAATATTATGCAGATGTATTAGCCTGGGTCCCAGATATTTTAAATGCCTATTAAAGTCTTTGCTTATCACTCCCCTTTACAAAAATCCCACAGTTTATGTGGAAGGAGACTCCTTAGATTTGAGGGTGTGAGTAATTTGCTCCCCGGCTCCCAGCATCAGTGTTCAGAGAAACAAAAGCAAAAGATGATATTTTTGGAGATATGCCACAGCTGAATTGCAAACAAAATTTTATGCAGGGCCACAGTTCCCTTTCTGGTCACTTCAGAGTGAAGAGTTCACCTCAGAAAGCCCCGGAAGGGGTTCGAATCATTTCATCTGGGTTTGGGCTTGTCTGAATCTGATGCCCATCCCTAATTTTTATGTTTGACTAAATATGAAGCAGATTTATGCAACTATAAACAAAGGAAAGTGACTAGTGTTACAACCGTTGTATAGTTTCTTCTGTATCTAATGTTCAGGCTGTGAATGTTGCTTATGTAACCGAACCATCACCACCATGCATAAGCAGGAATTAACAAGCTGGCAGTAACCTCTGATTTTGCAGAAGTACGTATGGGGAACCTAAGTGTTAGTGGAGAAATTCCCAGAGCAGCTTTAGTGAGGCCTGAGCATGCCTAATGACTAGAGAATAACAACTCATTTAGTGGATTGCAATAGAAAACTCAGGTGCAGGGAAGATGAAATGGGGTACTGTGGAAAAGGGCATGACTGACTGATTGGAACGATGAACAGGAATGCTCCACACTGTGATATTTGTTGCAGATTTCACTTGCTACTTTTGTATTAATAATGTTAACCTCGCTCCACTTGGTTTTGTTGTTTCTGGTGTATGTGTAAGGGTAGGAAGAGAATCAGTGCTTTCCAGTACAGCTTATTCTTGTACTACAAAGAATGTGATGCAGTCAGGAACATAAGTGGAGGAGGTCTGCTCTCTTCCCTAGAAGATAATGCTTATGCTAAAAAAAAATCTCAAGAGTCCCTGAGATAACATTCGTATAAGAGTGAACTAAATCTAGCCTGATTATGGGAAGAGGGTTCAGAATGTGAAGCAATTTATCCCCACCAACATGTTCCCTTTGAAATGGCAAATTAGATGTGCAGCAGGATTTGGTCACACTTCAAAGAATAATATGCAGAACTGGAGATCCATCTGTTTTCTCTTCCACTGAGGCTCCTGTATGTTAAACAGGCTTTCAGTAACTTCAAAGCTTGTTTGAAGTCTTCATTGTGCATAACTCAGGCAGAAAAACCAAGGATTCCTTAACAATATTACCATCTGATATTTTCTGTTAGTCTTAATCTGTGAGGGAAAACAATTTGTTCTTGTTTCTTACCATTTTATTTGCTTCTTTTCTGCTTTAGTTATGACAGTGAAGGGCGACTAACCAATGTTACATTTCCAACTGGAGTGGTAACCAACCTGCATGGGGAGATGGAAAGAGCCATTACAGTTGATATTGAATCATCTAGCAGAGAGGAAGATGTCAGCATCACTTCAAACCTATCATCAATTGATTCTTTCTATACGATGGTCCAAGGTACAGTAAGAAAATCTAACAAAAACACTCTTTCTAAAATAGAGGAAATTAATCAGAGCAAGTTATATGATGGCTAACCAGCCTCTTAAGGATTAGAAAAGAAGGTCTGCATGGGGAAAATACTGAAGTTCATTGTTAAACATAATTTGAAAGGCATTTTAACTATATTTAGGATATGCAATTAACTGTACTTAACTCGCAAAAACATTTTCATTGGTATCTGAAATGAACTGCAAGCGAAGTATTTAGTCACCTTTAATCAAAAACTTATGAAGCTCTTATGCTTGTTGGAATTCTCTCTGTTGAGGTCATTATCAAACATGTACAGATTTAGGGCATACCCATGCTTATTTTCAGTCTACATAGAAAAATTGTTCAAACAAATACATCTTCCAAATAGTTAAACTGAGAGACCTATGCCAACTGAAGAATTACAGTGCCTTGCAGAAGTATTCATACACAACCCCTTTGACTTTTCTACATTTTCTTGTGTTAAACCTAGAATTAAAATGTGTTTGATGTATGCAAGTGGTATTCAGCACTGTTAAAGTGCAAAATATTTGTACTGAGGCATAAAAGTTAATGAATGAAAACAAATTGGCACTTGTAGGTTGCATTAGTATATGCCCCCTTTGCTGTGACATGGCAGAATAAACTTTGGTGCAATTTCACTGCCTCCAGAAGTCACATACTGTACAGTAAATAGTTGAATAGAGTCTACCTACATGTAATCCCACTGCCACATGAACTCAGCTTAAATACACCTGTTTCTGGAAGTTTGTTGAAGTGCATATCTAAGTAAAGTCATGAAAACCAAGTAGCACAATAGTTAGAGATGTAACGAAGAGGCCACTCGTAACTCTGGAGAGATCCTTAACTGAGATGGGAGAAACCATCCATGGGACAACGATCACCCAGGTGCTCCACAGAGCTATGGAAGAATGGTAAGAAAAAATCCATTGCAGAAACAAACCCATATCAAAGCCCATATGGAGTTTGTAAAAAGTCATGTAGTAAGCCTGTGGGCGAAAGGTCTCTCGTCTGATGAAACCAAAATTTAACTTTTTGGGCTTGCTACAAAACATCATTTTGTTGCATATTCAATAGTGTTTCATGCCCAATAATGCCATCTCCACAGTGATGCATAGTGGTAGCATCATGTTGTGGGATGCTTTACCTCAGTTGGAACTGAGAAAGTTATCAGGACTGAAGGCAAGATGAATGGGGTCAAAGAGAAGGTCTAAAGGAAAACATGTTTCAGCCTGAAGGGGCCTGAAAATTTCACTGTCCAAAAGGATAATAACTCTAATTACGGAGTCAAAGTAACACTGCTGTGGTTTACAACCAAGAGGCTAAATGTCTTAAGGGGACCCGGTCAAAGGCCAGGTGTCAGCCTGATTGAGAATCTGTGGCACGAGATTAAAGTTGCTGTTCACCAGTAGTCCCCATTCAACCTGAAAAAGCTGGAGCAGTTTTGTAGGAAGAATTGGCAAGCACTGCAGGATCCAAATCTGCAAAGTTGATAGAGACTTAACCAAGAAGACTTGCGGCTGTAATTGCTGCCAAAGGTGCCTCTAAGTAAATAGGTTAAAGAGGTGCTAATTTGTTTTTGTTTACTTTTATGTCACAACAAAAAAATCTGCACTTTAAGTACCAATTAAATGCATTTCAATTCCAGGTTGTACAAGAAAGTGTAAAAAAGTCAAAAGGGGTGAATACTTCTGCAAGGTACAGCACACATTTCAAGAGTCTGTAAAAAGCAACTGAGCATCTGGTTTGACTTCCATCTTTTATTCCTTACATATGAGAAAGAGCTTAGAATACATACCATCTACTATAGCTCAGAATACATACGGTCTTTTTATCCCAATTTCAGATCAGTTAAGAAACAGCTACCAGATTGGATATGATGGGTCCCTAAGAATTATCTATGCCAGTGGCCTGGACACACACTATCAGACAGAACCACATGTTTTAGCTGGCACTGCCAATCCTACAGTAGCAAAAAGAAATATGACTCTTCCTGGAGAAAATGGACAGAATCTAGTGGAGTGGAGGTTCCGAAAAGAACAAGCCCAAGGCAAAGTCAATGTGTTTGGCCGAAAGCTCAGAGTGAGTAATGCCTCTAATGCATTTTTAATTTGAGTTGGGTACTATAAGTTAGAGGATATGTCATAAGCCTGCAGTGCTTGAAATGTGCATCTTTTCCTTTGGGTAGTTTTTCTGAGAACAATTCAGATGAAAGGAAAGTGGAATGGCCCCTGGTGGTTACAATTAGATTTTAGACATAAGAGAGCATCTTGATGCGGGGAGGAAGAGGGCAGGGCAGATTCCTCATTCAGTTGTTCACATTGGCATGCTGATCAATGTATTTCCAGATCTTGTTTATGAGACTTGTAGTCAGCAGTTAGCTTAGTTAACTATTCATTAATATAGTACAGTAAACAGGCATGTATGTCGTGCAAGCACACTCCTCTTTTTCAGTGTTGCAATATTGTATGATTAGTTTACACTTTCTTTTTTAAAAATAGAGAATTACAGCATCTGTTTTTGGAAAGGGAGGACACAATTGATTTCTTCACAAAACATCCTTGCAACACATGTTTTTATTATTCTTGTAAAACATATGGGGCTGTGCTGGTGAAAGTGCAATAATCCCATAGAAATTCAGCAGGTACAGACAATGGCTGATCATGCATGTGCTTTGCAAGTGCTGAAAACCTTTCCTTAAGAAAGCAGGGCTTGGGAGAGCACTGCTCAGACCAGGGTGGCTAATAGCAGGGCCCATTTTCAAGGACAGCACTAAGGCATTTCTCAGAAGTAGCACGCATTCCTGTTTTCAGCCAGTTGTCTTGTTTTAGCAGGACTTGAGGGAGGGAATGTAGAAACTGAGGCCAAAGTAAAAATCAAACATAAGTGAAATAGCTAAGCAAGTGTATTAAAATAAAATTTATAGAAGATAAACCATAAATAGTCTGTTGAAAAATCCGTGTTCTGTCCTTTAAGAAAAGAAAACTCTATGAAAGCCGTTGTGCCCAATTGATTGTAATGAGATCATAAGAACTTGAAAAGCCTCGCTGGGTCAGAGCAAAGGTTTGTTCAGCATCCTATAAGGCAAAAAAGCTGTAGCCTCTTCTCCTCTCATTCCCAACTATATTCAAAAGTATACTGCTTCTGAACTTGGAGGTGGCATCTAGTTATTATGATTAGTGGCCTTTAGTAGCCTAATCCTCAATGACTTTGTTTAATCTCCTTTTAAAGCCCTCTAAACTATTGGTTTGTTGTATAGCACATGAATTGTACTTTAACTTTTTTTGTTCACACTTAAAGCAAACATTTTCAATTCATGTTTAAATTGTGGAGCAGTAGGGACTGTGACAACAGTTCAGAGGTATAGTAACGGTAGTATATTGTATCATATATGGCTGTAAGGTGTCATATGTAAACTATGATACTACACTGAATGTCAGAAACTGAACTGGCTTACTAATCCTAATTATATTTATTTGAAAATGAATGCTTTTGATTTAATAAAACTTAACAATCTTTAACTGAATATGCTGTATATGGGCACTTATTGTTCAAGAAAGATGAATTCCAAATACTCTCTGGGTTTGCAGAAGTAGCTGAACAAATATTGAAATGTTGGTCATATGTTTTAGGCCAAAGTAACAAACTGATTTAGGACAGCTTGAATAATTTTTAACGCTGCCACCTAGTTTGCTCTAATGGTTAATTCATGTTTTGTTAAGAGTGATAAGTTGTCTCAAAGAAAGTTTTAAAGTCTCTTTCTAGCAACAGGAAATAAAACGAGAAATAATCTTATCATGTCTCTCAGCTGGAAAGCAGTAATGTGTTGTGTACTATGCACAATGCTACAACACATACTTTATAAATCATCTTTTTAGAAAATAATAATTGTTAAAAGTAAAAACAAGCTACTTTTGCCATGTAAAAGATACATATAGTCCTAATGAGTAATTTCATATGTAATTTATTATGTTACATCAGTATATTTACTGGCCTTTTATTTGTTTTTTCAGTGTTAACACTACACTGATCATTCTTCTGTATTGTCCTAATGTGTTCCATAAATCATACTGATTATTATACAGGTTATCAATGTATATATTGTTGTATTTTAGTAACATTTAACTAAATTCCACAAGAATTAATTGAAAAGGTTTTGAATAAATGCCAAGACATCTTTATTTAATGAAACCTTTTAAAGCAGCAATTAATCTAATGCCTGGCACATAAGTTGCTAAATTAATTTACTGACAAAGGAAATCAATCATTGTAAATAGTGTTTAAACAACGCTGTTTAAACAATAGTTGATAGTATGAGGAAGTAATAAGCAGCTCATGGTCAAACAACATGATTTATTTTGTCATCTTGTTTGTTTCATAAAAGGTTAATGGTAGGAACCTCCTTTCAGTTGACTTTGATCGGACCACAAAGACAGAGAAGATCTATGATGACCACCGTAAATTTCTGTTGAGGATTGCCTACGACACTTCAGGACATCCAACTCTATGGTTCCCAAGCAGCAAGCTTATGGCTGTCAATGTTACCTATTCATCTACAGGTCAGATTGGCAGTATCCAGCGAGGAACTACTAGTGAAAAAGTAGATTATGACGGACAGGGAAGGATTGTATCTAGAGTATTTGCAGATGGCAAAACATGGAGTTACACGTACCTTGAAAAGGTAAAGTATTACAATGGGCCCATGAGTGTTTCCATGTGGCAGTAAAGTTAGTGAAGTATTGCCTCATTCAGTGGTCAAAAACCAGAGATCCAGAGATTTATTGAAGAAAGATACACATTGATCCTTGCAGTTCCAGACATAAGGCACATTTCATTCATTTGTATTTATTGGTTTGGCACCTATGAGAATAGTTCAGCAGAAGTTAATGATCCCATTTAAATCAGTGGGAATTAAAGATCACAAGCATGATTATATCTTGATGACCTTAGTAAGATTTAAGTTCACTTAATGTTCTTGGGATTACACAAAATTGTGTTTATTTTGGTAATTAGCAGTATTCTCAGATTGCCTTCAATACAAATAAATCTCATCCAACAGACTGATATAAACAGTTAATGGTCTGTATTGGGTCCACTGCTTTGTTGATAAATGTTCCTGAACTGTGTGTAGTGAAGTGGCCAGTTTTGCTGATGACATCAAGTTATTCAGAACAGCTAAAACAAAAGGAGTTTCTCTCCAAACTGGGAGAAAGGACATCAAAATGGCAAATGCATTTCAGTGTAAACAAAGTGGTGCGCACTGGGGTAAAAATCCCAACTCGAAGTGTAAATTGATAGGCTCTGAGCTAGTGATGGCTAAGAAAGAAAACATGGGATTGTGCTGATCAGCCCAATGACAATGTCAATCCAGTGTGCAAAAGGCTAATTCTACATTCGGCATAATTAGAAAAGGAATTGAAAAAAAAATCCTGCAAGATCTTACACAAATCTATGGTACAACTACACATGGAATATTGTATATGTTTCTGGTCAGTGCATCTAAAAAAGTACAGACAGAAGCAGCTAAAATGATCAAGGGGTGGAGCAACTCCCCTGCAACATCTGAGACTTAGAGAAAAACTTAGAGAAAAGGTGAGTGAGCAGAAGTGTTCAAAATTATGCATGGTGTGGACAAAGTAGGTAGCATGACATTTATCTTCTTCTACATAATACTAGAACCTGGGCTTATCCCATGAGGCCAGTAGGATGGAGATTCAGGTGCAATAAAAGGAAGAGTTTCTTCACAGAGTGTTTCTTCAAATTGTGGAATTTGCTAGTACAACATGTAGGCATGGCCCCCAATTGGGATGACTTTAAAAGGGGATTAGGTAAACGTATGGAGAATAAGACTGTCATTGGTTACTAATCCTGATGGCCATATGCTACTTCCAGTATGCCCTATGTGCACCAGTTACTGGAGAATACAGGTGGGAGAATGGTGCACTCCTGTCCTTTTTGTGAGTTTCTGACAGGTAGCTCGATGCCCACTGTGCGAAGAAAAACTGGACTAAATGGACCTTATCCATAATGCTCTTAACATTCAAATTTTAAAGTATTAATGAAAAAAAGAAAAAGGCACAACAGCAACCACTCCAGATAGCATCTGAGTTATGAAGAAAAAAACCTAAAATAATTGGAGAATTAAAAGATTTTCACCTGGCATCAAGTTCAACAGACTTGGCACCAAGTGGTAAAAAGAGTTCCAGGGCCAGGCCATGACTGTATGAAAGGCCCTGTTTCCAGTCACTACCAGACCTGTCTCCTTTAAAAGCCTCTGGCAGCTGAGTCTACAGGGCATCCTAAATATGGCAAAATAAGCTGTGCCAGACTTGCTATAAATTCTCACTGCCTGCCCACTTTCCAATTCTATAGCTGTGTGCATTATGTAGTGGCTTTTCCCCAGCATTTGTTTTAAAGTACCAATTTGTTTAGTAGCATTTGCTGCCTGGTCCATAGTTGTTTCCTGTTCCAAGAAACAAGAAAATGTATCTCCTTATACCAACATTGGAAATGCAACCCATGATCCCTAGCATAGTACAGTAGTGAGCAGAGCTTTATTTTGAATATGTTGCTAATCTTAAAATTAGGAGAGTGCCTTATGTTTAGTTTTACAGCATCAGTCATCAGATGATGAAACATCACAATTCATTGCCTTTTATTATCTGTTAGTTTGCTGTCCTTTTGGGTGGGGGAGCGGGCAGGATTTACCTTGGGTTAAAAAAGCTAGTGGCCCATGATGACAAATACTGACAGTTTCATACAACTTCAGATGAATAATGCAAATTAACCATGCCACTGGTGCACAATACTGAAACTCCAGTGGCTGATTAGTTCCGCAAAGTTTTATGTAAATAACAAACCAATTGCTTTGCCCATCTGACAAATAGACGTAGAAGAGGAGGTTCAGGGATCTTCAGGCTAGTAAACTTCTCACTAAATTATCTCTAATTACAGGAGTGAAATTGTCTCTTCCATATGTTGTTCCCTTCTTGAGTTATTGGCTTGAAGACAGCTTCACTTTTGCCAGTATTAAACATGACTTATCCAAATCCATTGACAATCTGCTGTTTGGCTGTGAGTGCTTGAGAAAAGAATGACTCAGTCACAACAAGTAGCACATTAGGAATCTGGAGCTACTAATTACAGAACCTCTTACAATTAAGTATCCAAATGAATTAGGCAGAGAATAATTACCAATATGTAAGGTCAAGGATAACTCAATTTAAATGATCATGATTTACTCAAACAGAATGCTGTTATCATACACTGGTTTTGGCACTTGTTTAAACTCTATTTTCTTCTTTCAGTCTATGGTCCTCTTACTACATAGTCAACGGCAGTACATTTTCGAATACGACTTACTGGATCGACTTTCTGCAATAACCATGCCCAGTGTCGCCCGCCATACTATGCAGACAATCCGTTCCATTGGCTATTATCGGAACATCTACAACCCCCCTGAAAGTAATGCCTCTGTCATCATGGACTACAATGAGGAAGGACAGCTATTGCAAACTGCTTTCTTGGGCACAAGTCGAAGAGTTTTATTCAAATACAGAAGGCAGACCAGGCTCTCCGAAATTCTGTATGATAGTACAAGAGTCAGTTTTACTTATGATGAGACAGCAGGAGTTCTGAAAACAGTAAACCTCCAGAGTGATGGTTTTATCTGCACCATTAGATACAGGCAAATTGGCCCATTGATTGACAGGCAGATTTTCCGCTTTAGCGAGGATGGAATGGTAAATGCCCGATTTGACTACAGCTACGACAATAGCTTCAGAGTGACTAGCATGCAAGGTGTTATCAATGAAACTCCATTGCCTATTGATCTTTACCAGTTTGATGACATCTCTGGAAAAGTTGAACAGTTTGGGAAATTTGGGGTGATATATTATGATATTAACCAGATAATTTCAACAGCTGTAATGACTTACACAAAGCATTTTGATGCCCATGGTCGCATAAAGGAAATTCAGTATGAAATATTCAGATCACTTATGTACTGGATTACAATTCAGTATGATAACATGGGCCGAGTAACAAAAAGAGAAATTAAAATAGGGCCATTTGCTAACACAACCAAGTATGCATATGAATATGATGTTGATGGCCAGCTGCAGACTGTTTACCTGAATGAGAAAATAATGTGGCGATACAACTATGACTTGAATGGCAATCTGCACTTGCTCAATCCAAGTAATAGTGCCCGTTTAACACCACTTCGCTATGATCTGAGAGACAGAATCACTCGACTAGGTGATGTTCAGTACCGGCTAGATGAGGATGGATTCTTGCGACAGAGGGGTACAGAGATATTTGAATACAGCTCAAAGGGCCTCCTCACCAGAGTTTATAGCAAAGGCAGTGGGTGGACAGTGATATACCGTTACGATGGACTTGGAAGACGAGTATCCAGTAAAACCAGTCTGGGGCAGCATCTTCAGTTTTTCTATGCAGACCTTACATATCCAACAAGGATAACTCATGTGTACAACCATTCAAGTTCTGAAATCACCTCTCTCTACTATGACTTGCAAGGACACCTATTTGCCATGGAGATCAGCAGTGGAGATGAGTTCTACATTGCCTCAGACAATACTGGCACACCACTAGCTGTTTTTAGCAGCAATGGTCTTATGCTAAAGCAAATTCAATACACAGCATATGGTGAAATCTATTTTGACTCCAACCTTGATTTCCAGCTGGTGATAGGATTCCATGGAGGCCTTTATGACCCTCTGACAAAATTAATTCATTTTGGCCAAAGAGATTATGACATTTTAGCAGGCCGTTGGACTACACCTGACATTGAAATTTGGAAAAAAATAGGAAAAGATCCCGCTCCTTTTAATTTATACATGTTTAGAAATAACAATCCAGCCAGCAGAATACATGATGTGAAAGATTATATCACAGGTAAATAAACATGTTTTAATAATGTTCACTTAATAGACACTTTCATTTTATTATATTGTGTCTGCTTAGCAAATTGCGTTGTACACATCAGCTTGGATCTAACAGTGATTGTCTAACAAAGAGCATTATGTGCAGAATATGATGAGGGATATATGCCAGCGAAGCTAATTAGTTTGACATGAAAATTCTAGTTTGTTCCACCTAAGTAAGGAAAAAAACAACCATCAAAAGATGTTCCTAAATATGTATAGCAAGCCATTAATGAAGGCTGTCTGGAGCATTGTCTCAGTAATAATGATGCACAAAATGAACAGGCCTGCTCCATTTTCCAAGCAATGGTGTCATAGTGGCAAGTGATATTATCTCCTAGATTATTAGTAGACATCGGCTAGGAATTGTCAAAATCCCCATGTCTTTTGTCTCCTGAAAAACCGCTATCTCTCTTAAGTGAGTCAGAAAAAAGAATTACAGAAAGAAATAGTCAACTTTTATGTTTCTTTTCTGACTAGACAGTTACTATGGCAACAGTTTATAAACCTGTAAATATATTGAATATTATGGGTGGTATTATGCCAGATGGCAACTTACAGTTTGGTAGGGTTTGTTACTTGCATGATAACACCTCCAATGATTATCTTTGTAAGGGAAGATTTCCAAGTTCCCATCTACTACTATAGAAAATAATATGCTGTCACTTCCCCTTGCAGTTTACGGTTGTGTTTATCTGTAAACAAAAAATGGTGTTCCTCATCTCTCTCAGCTCTGCCTTCTTTTTTTGCTATCTTAATGGAGTGGCCTCAGACCCATGCAGGACCTAAGTCTGCTTGCCTTGCTTTCTGGCCAAAGCGCATGTTAGCACCTAAGCTGCTTTCTGTGAAAAAACTAGTGTGTTTTGTGTACCATTAGCTATTTATAAAAGTGCTTGGGGACACCATTTCATTCTTGTGCTGGTTTCCCCTCTCACAGAACATGATTCAGGCAGATATTGGTAGTGCTCTGCATGATCACAAACAGAACTTCACGTTGCATTAGGACTGGTTCCTGACACACATCCCACTGCAAAGTCTGGGAACACTTGCCAGGACCTTGGACTCGGGGCAGCTGCAAAGTAGACTGGAGTCCTGGGAGTGGAACACAAGGAATCTGACAAATTTGCACCCCCAGATTCCTCACATATACCCAAATGTGTTTATCATAGAAAAGTGACTGGGGAAAATGGCATATGATTATTCTGGATTGTTGGATAATGCATTAAAGAACTCTGTTTGGCATACTTCTTCTGAAAAGACTGGCTTATGCATAGAGATATGGATAATCAGTTCATAGGAAGAGATACCTGGAGCCAGAAGTTCACATCAGTGATCATATCATCTGTAATACCTGTATATGTTGTAAAGCGCATGAGGTCCAAAGATAAAGGTCTGATCCGCAGGTTGGCATGCACAGCAGGGGGCTACATACATTAGTGGGGTAGGATTATGCATGTACAGCCACCAAACAGATGTTTAAGGCTGGCAGTTTTTGTCAATGCAGATCACACACAGGAAGAATGAGGAAGAGAAAAGAGAGGGATCTTGTCCATGATCCCATGCAGCTGTCAGAAGGGACAGGGTTGCTCCTCGTTTTGATTGTCCACACACACTCCACCACAGTGGGTTTCAGAGATTCTGCAGTAGAACCCAAACATGCAGTTTCCAACCCAGAAGTGAAGAAGGAGGTCATTCACAGAACTTTAGGGTGATAACAGTTCTCATTTCTGTTGCCATTCAATATAACTAAGAATGCTTAGCACATAAGCACACCATACAGTGGTGGTGCCCTTACCACCGAAAGTTGCATCTATTGTGCTGCCTGTAACCCTCCAAATTATTTTGCTCATGTGGAGAGTGGGCTGAAGCACCTCCAAGGTATACTGTGTCTGGCAGAGTCTTGCTCCTCCCTTCCTGGCCCCCAAGAATCACCCACATGCCAGTTCCAAAGTTGCATTTGTTGCGGCTATGAAAGCACAACTGGTGCAAAAGGAACCATACCAGTTGTGAAGGTGCTGTGTGGGCAGAATCCCAGCTGAGCCTCTGAGCTATTCCATGGGCATCTGGACAGCATCTAGCAGTGATAAGATTGCAGCCTAAGTGCATCTAATTATGACTGAAAGTACTATCCAGTCCCATTCATAGCAATAAACCTGTGTGGCATTATATTCTAATGGATACTTTTTGTGTTTTCTTTTTACACTTGCTTTGTAGATGTTAACAGCTGGCTGGTGACATTTGGTTTCCACCTGCATAATGCCATCCCAGGATTTCCCGTGCCAAAATTTGATTTAACAGAGCCCTCCTATGAACTTGTGAAGAGTCAGCAGTGGGATGATGTACCGGTAAGGAAAAAATGAAAATCAAACCACATCTGAATTTAATAAGGAACACCATTCTTTTCAAGTACTATAATCCTCAGTAACTTACATATTGTGGGGGTGGGGTGGATTTCCAAAATTAAAATCTATGTTGTAAAGATACTTTACCCTAGCTGCTAATTTTGCTCTCTTTTTGTGCTTTTACAAAAGATTAGGTCTGAATTTTAACCTATCTTGGTCTCCATTCTATAATGCAGACTCAAATTGGGAGAAGGGAAAGAACTAATCAATAAATAATAGTACTTTGAAACCCTTTTTAGAATTGTAACTTTCCCAGTGGAAACTATGGAGATTGGATTTATAGCAGTGCCCTGCCTGAAGGCAGAAAGTGAACACTGTAATAAAAAATAGACTGTGAAATAAACAGAAGAACAGGTGATATAAATTATGCATACCAAGCACCAGTACAATTTTACTTCTCTTTAATATTAACCATGTTTTATATGTGAAGATAAAATATTGAATGTGAAATTACCTCAGGTAAAACCCATTACATTACACAGAGCCAAAACTCTAGGTGCTTATGAAATTACTTGGTAAAAAAGAAAAAATTACTGCAGATCAGAAATCTGTAGCTGGTTTAAATGACAGACAAAATGAATGGAATGTAAAATAGAAAAGTCATATCTGCTATTTAGGAAAATAGTGATTATAAATCTTAACTGTTCAGAGATCAAAAGGCCACGTGCTATCAAGTTTTCACTTACTGGCAAGGAATGGGAAACTTTAAGCAGTGGTTAGCTCAGACTGATGGTTCCAAAGGGTCCCTGTAACTTCTTGAGCTGTTCAAATACAGAGCCAGGATGTCACATGTACCACTACCTGTACTGCTTTCTCAGGCTGCATTCCAAGAGCGGAAACCGCAGCCACTTTCAAAAGACATTGCTGTGAACTTCTTCCCCTGCATATGTTATGGTGCACAGGCACTGCACAGGAGGGAGGGAAAGGACGTTGCTGCTCCTCACCCCATCCCCACAGTGATGTTGTTGCACCAGTTGCTGGTCCACAAGGTACAGTGAAGAAAATACGTTTCCATTTACAACCAGTTTGCCATCCCTAGCTTTATTTATTATAGAAAACAGGTTTGTGTCCCTTTTCTGCGATGTGACCTGCCTTACAGAATACATCAGAACAAAAAAGACAGCATCATCTGCTAAATCAGGGACAAACAAAAAGATGATGTCCAGATGCTTTTGACTTCAGTTCCCAGAAGCCTCTGCCAGCATGGCCAGTGGATGGGAATATGGCGAATTGGGAATCCAAAACATCTGAAGATCTACCTTCTTTTCCACCCCTGCACTAAATGCTAATCTGAAGTCCAGTGAATTAATAAGTCCCTACTAACAGCTAAGTGAATATAAGATTGCAGTGGAAGCCTACCAGACTGAAAGCGGCATGCCCTGCAGCAACCCTTTATTTAAAAACCACCTAGGATGTAGCACTCCATCCATCCCATGGTGAGAAAGATTATTCCATAGCCTTAGGGCAATGACAGGGAAATCCAGGGTTCCCACAGATATGGAGGGAGCTCTTTTATCCACTGCAGTAGGTCAGGGTTAGAGATACTAACATTGCACAGCTGCGCAAGGATTCAGCCCTTGCTCTCCCTCGGCAAAATTCATCATGAGCCCTTGGGCCACAGTAGGCTCTGGACTGCTAGGAGAGTGGAGCCCAGTGCTGACTGGAGAGGGACATGGGCAGAACACCTGTGGATGCAGGAAGGCTAAAGACACCAGAAGTGAGGAAACAATGGCTTAGGAAGATGTATTGTTAGAGAGAAGTATGTCCGTATGACATGACAGATGGGGTGTGTTTTTCCACTATATTGTGGGAAGTGCCTTGGCAGGCATAGACTACATGTGACTGCAACAAACATAGGCTTTTAAATGTGGGTCTTCCCTATTCACCTGTAAAATGGAAAGGGGGATTTGAAAGAGCAGTGCAGGAACAGGGTCCCTTTCTTTCTATCTATTCCCTTTCCTTTCTACCTATTCCTCTTACTCATTTGGCAGGAAGGGGCCTTTTACCTTTCAGACCATCAGGGCATTGAGAACAGCATTGTTAACAATGACCGGCACTGGTTGTCTAGGGTTTCAGACAGGGTTTTTCAGCCAAAGACTGAATCAGTGACTTCCAGCTTCCTTTCATCTTGCTCAAATACTTCCTGTTTCACTCCAAGATGAAGTGACTGGCACCCTTTTCAGAACAAGCATAGAATATAGTTACTGCCCCTTTGGACAATGTCAAAGAGCAGTTTGAGAGTCCACCCACATGATTACAATTAGCTACCCAGAGAAAGCCTGGTTGAATGAAATGCCTCTCATAACTCAGATCTTAGCAATAGTGTTTAGTTATTAGAGGTCAATGGATATGTCATATCACATGATCACCTTATTACACAGTATTAGCCCATGTAAATAACCCAGCCCTAGGAGAAGATGCTTAGGTTAAATGTTCAGGTTAAAAGCCAACAAACCTGTAATAAGCTCATCACCTCCCAGCTTGTTTCATGACTAGGTAATAATGGGGCTGGGGATAATGCCTGATTGCTGATCCCTAATAAGAGTTACTAATAATAAGTGCAGTTATTACCTGAGCTGAGTAAGGTATGAACAAACCCACAGCCTGCATCTTAGGCCTTTCTTCATTTCTACAAAAGGAGTGGTGTGGAAAGAAATTGCTTGAAATCTACAGAGTAACGTTAAGAGTCCTCTCAAACTATGTTTTGTGTTTCTGGGAAGGATTTGAGCCATCTGAACATAGGTAGTCCTAAGTGGATGAGTTTTCACTACTGTAGCCTTTAGCAAGACAGTCAACCTACTGCCTCCATTTCCACATCTGAAACATTTATACTTTTGCTTTGCACAGTTTTTACAATGTATTCATTAGTGTAAGAACTAGCTGTGTAAATGCTAATTAAACATAATGATCCTCTGTGTGTAAGCCTTTCATATTTTCTTTGGAGTGATTCAGTGCAAGGATTTATTATTAGTAATAAGATTATAATTCCAATGATATTTCTTGTATTCTCAAAGAGACAAAAAAGTTGGAATTTTATCAAACAAAATAGCAGTTGTAAGAGTAGAATTCAGTATGTGGATTCAATTAACTCTTTGGCAGTGTCAGTTGTGACATATCGCATTGTCAGCTCCAGGCAACATGCCAATAAATGCATGACTTTTGGAATCGAGGGGCTACAGATGGTTTGTAAAACTTCTGTCTGTTCTTGTTTTTAGCCAATTTCTGGAGTGCAACAACAAGTGGCAAGGCAAGCAAAGGCTTTCCTGTCCCTAGGAAAGATGGCAGAAGTCCAAATCAGCAAGCGCAGACCTGGTGGTGAGAAATCATGGTTGTGGTTTGCAACTGTGAAGTCTCTGATTGGAAAAGGGGTTATGCTGGCTGTCAATCAAGGCAAAGTGCAGACTAATGTGCTCAACATTGCAAATGAGGATTGCATCAAAGTGGCAGCTGTTCTGAACAATGCGTACTACTTGGAAAACTTACATTTCACGGTCGAAGGGAAGGACACACACTACTTCATCAAGACCACCTCACCAGAGAGTGACCTAGGCACACTGAGACTGACGAGTGGCCGGAAGGCCCTGGAGAATGGCATCAACGTCACTGTTTCCCAGTCCACCACTGTAGTGAATGGCAGGACTCGTAGGTTTGCTGATGTTGACATGCAGTACGGCGCTCTGGCTCTTCATGTCCGCTATGGCATGACTCTCGATGAAGAGAAGGCACGGATATTAGAGCAGGCTAGGCAAAGGGCTCTCTCCAATGCCTGGGCCAGAGAACAACAGAGAGTGCGAGATGGAGAGGAAGGGGCAAGGTTGTGGACAGAAGGGGAAAAGAGGCAACTGCTGAGTGCTGGAAAAGTGCAAGGATACGATGGGTACTATGTACTCTCCGTGGAGCAATACCCCGAATTAGCAGACAGTGCTAACAATATACAGTTCCTGAGGCAAAGTGAGATTGGAAAGAGGTAACACCCTGGTGGAGCCGGGGCTGCCAAAGAGACTGCCTCTGTGCCAGGGTCTTCAAAGAGGGAGACCAAACTGTTTTGCTGCATTACTACTTGAGCCTAAACATACACCTTTGCTCAGATTTTTCTGTAGCACAATCTGAACAGACTCTACAACAAAGAGAGAGCCTTCCAGAAGAAGGATATTGCGAAAAAGAAAAACTGGGATTTTTTTTCTGAATGACCTTAAAGGTGATCTGCTTTAAAGAATATGTTTACATATGCATATCGCTGCACTCAAGTTGAACTGAAAGTATTAAATGAAAGACCTGAAGGGGTTGCAACAGGCTGCCTATTCCTTTGAGGCACTGTCTTTAACTAAGAAACAGTTCCGTACAGTGTTTCCAAATATTACTAAATTGTTGACCTTTGCTTACAAGAAATATTCTCTCTCTTTCTCCTCCTCTTCCTCTATTTTGCTCTCTTCCTCTCTCTGCATAGGATGTGGTATATATCTCCGTTCATTTTAAAATGTGGGGCAAAAATTCTTGTTCATGGACACCCTGGTGGCTTTAAACTGTGCTGCTTTCTAAAAGGACATTGGCACAAGCGATTTATGCTACAATGAGAATTTAATAATGGATTTTACAGTGATAATGGGGTTTGCCTTGGGGGAAAATGGCAAGTAGAATCCTTGTCACAGAGAAGCAAAGGAAACCTTGATTTTTTTTGTAAATTATGTGAGACAAGTTGTTTATGGATTTTTATATGAATTACAATTTACTGTACATCAAATATTAGTCTCAGAGGAGTTAATTTATGTAAAGTGTTTAAAAAAGTTTATACTTAAAATAAAATGATAAAAATGTGCAGTGTGTGAATTTTTTTAAAGGAATTGCACCTTTTGTTATGTTATAGCTGTACAGTATAAAGAGTTATATTGTAGAGATATAACAGTGTATAACTAATGGACAGAAGTGTTAATATTTTTGTATTAGCTTTAAAATGGTGCATTTTTCTCTTTCGATCACTCCTCTGAAAGGATGGAGTGGTCCCAAATGCATAGGTAATCGGGCTGCAGCTCCTTTTGCATTCTCTACCCTTGCTGGCCCCTCAGCCCATGAGGTTTCATCTCTCACTGCTGGGAGGGAAAGCAATTCATTAAGAATCATTTGATAGGACAGAAGACTTTGTAGGCTGGACTTGCCTTGTCCTCCCCTGCCTGAAAGGTGTACTTAATCATGTTGCAGCTATATTGTGCATTTTTTGAATGTGGGATGTGAAGCTGTGTAATGTGATGACAGGAACAATCCTAGCCGAGCTTAGGATTGCTGCTGCCTCAATGTGCATGAATGGCAAGATGGTGGAGTTCTTGCCCCCACAGTTACACAGTCCCCAAGGTGGGTCTTTCACCTTTGGCTTCTCTGTGAAAGAGATGTTTTCAGTGGCTCGGTTCTCATGATCCCTGAAAAAAAAGAAGCCACTCAGTGACCATGGAGATCTGGCTAGTTTTTCACTGGAAGATAGCAGAAACTTAGCAGCATTTGTAACACAAGTAGACACATGAATAACAAATTTAAATAAATATCCCAGTTTTTAAAGCCCTTATTGACCAAAGAGAGCCACTATGACCTTTGCAAAGGGAAAGAGAGAGTTTTAGCTTAGTGCCTAATCAGCATCAGAAGGCTACCATAAAGATTGTTAAGACTTGCCCCTAAGGACAGTCAAATCTAATGTATTAGCATTTGAGCGCTGCACACAGCAGAGCTTAACTTTGGTCATAGCATAGCTTTTTTGAGCCAGGTGTCTGTATTGGCTCACTACTGTAAAGGACCAAACATGACAACAAAGGGGATGATTCTGAATGGTTCCAAGTGCATCTCTTTCACTGCTGAGTAACCACTATCTGCTGCCCCACATCTGGAGGCAGAAATAGAGTTTCTATGCCAAATTGTAGGGCTTTTCTAGCAGGCTTGACCCCTACAGCATCTCTCTCTTATGTTGTTGTTTTTACCAGAAAGACAACTGTGTCACTTACAATGCCCGATAATTGTTGTCAGAGGGATCTACACCATGCTATGCCTGCAGTTTCTCAACATATTCCCTCTATTTCAGTAGCACAAAACTGACTCACTCTTCCAACATTCTGAGATTCTCGGCTTCCTTTTCCCCCCTCAAACTCTACCTTGTAACCTCTTTTTCAAAATGTGCAATGCCTCCTGCTCAGGCTTCTTGTGCCAGGAAAGCTGCACTAAATCATTCCTTGATTCCTCCTCATCAATTTTTATAAATATGCCATTTCTAAAAAGCTCTCTACTTGCAATTGGAATGGATTGTGCATGATTCCAAAATACACTTAGGTTTTGCATTGTTTGTAAGTGGGGAGGGAACAGACGAAGGGACACAGCGTTAATTTATAGATGCTGCCTCCCATATCCCTCAGTATTTTTGAGCAAAAGCCCTTGTACCTATGTGCTGTTTTCAGCAGCAAAATGTTTTCAGATACTCATTACTTTGGAAAATATGGTTACTTTTCATTGTGCTGTACTCTATATTCAGAATGGTAATAAATGGCAGGTGAATGTGTCTTGAACAGGGAGTAATGTGGATAGAATAAAAATAGTTTTCTAACTGCTTTCTGCACTGAGATTCTATAGTATTCTGTGTGCTCTCAACTGCACAGTAGGAGTCTTGTCAAACAGGCTGTGAGTAGGTCAAGCAAGTTACTGAAGCCACATTATCAATGCTATTACTATCACTATCCCCTTGGGTAGAACCTGTGGAACTGCTGACATTTAGAACAAAAGCTGTTATTTTATTATAGTTAAAGTACAAATAAATGGCTATGTTCTTTTTATTTTTCAACCATCAAGCAGCCCAAATTTAGCAAACCACTGATGAGTGCCATTGTTTCCCATTTTATTTTAAATATGGGAAATGAAAAAGGGGTTTACAAGGCATTAGGATTTCAGAGCGCTGTAAATGCTACTTGTGGAATTAGGCTCATACTCAAAAATGTAGAGGAGTATTATTCTATTGAATTACTACAAAAATATCCTGTATTTAACATGTCAGAATGGAACTTTCTCATTCTCCTGCATTTTGGCATCAGTACCCCCAGACTAAAGAATCCCTTGATGCTCATCTTAAATGCAGCCTAATTGGCAGCCTTGTTAGTAGGTGTATAGTAAGCCGTTTTCATACTAAAAAAATAAAACCCAAAACAGAAACCTTCTGATACAGACAGTCTCTTACATGAGGCAGTGACTATGGGGAATAACTAAACAAATGCTCTTTTTAAAAAAAATATAAAAATGAAATATTGTATTAAAATAATTAGCCTACAGGAAAAAAAGATTCAGAGTATTTTAGGCAAAGCCAGTCAAAATGCTTTCATGCTATTTTGAAATGTAAATTTTGTCTGATTTGTATTGTTCTTTTAATTTGCCTTCCTAACTTTATATGTGTCCTGAATTTTTCCACAACTTGATGACTATAGATTGCATCTAGGCTTTCCAATAAAAGCCAAGCCAATGTGTCTGTGTTTAGATTTGTTTTCTTAACTATGTGTGTCAGACATTATAACTGTGTTATTGCTTTTCTGTTTCTACTTGTAGATGCAAAGTGATCTGGTTGTACCAGTATTGATTCATTTACTACACAATGGGGAGTTGTTTCCCGCCCCTTCTGCCCAGTGGCTCAGACTGCTAGCTCAGCAAGGCAAATTACTCCATGGGATCTCCAGTGGCCTACTTTCCAGAAACATTAACTACACCTCACATAGCTAAGCATCACCAAGTTAAGAGAAGAAAATGTAGACCTGTTTCCTCTCACGTTAGAGAGAGAGAGAGAGAGAGAGAACAAATTTCTCTGAATAGGCAGACTTCACGCTTGCTTTGCAGTAACAACTGCAACTGGATAGCATGTTGATGCAGCACAAATCAGGTCACCAAGTAGCTGAGAGTGACCTACGTTTAAAAAAAAAAAATTTGCTCACTACAAGACTTCGTATTTTTCCATATCTAATGGGAGATAAACCGCTCTTCCATTTTATAAGAGCCTGTTGCGCTTGCAATCATACTTGCCGCCTTATAGAATAATGAATAAAGGTTTTAATGATACTATAACTCACGTACTTCTCTATATATAGGGCTTCAGAATGTTCAGGGGACTTCACATACATTACCTTGTATTTTTCTTACAACAAACCTACAAGGTAGGTCTTTATTATTGTCCTACAAATCATATAAAGGAGAGGAGGGACTGAAAGAGATGCCTAAGGCCATCAAGGAAGCTCCAGATTAGATCCAGAAATTTCTTGATTTGTAGGTCTCTCAGCTATGCTGCCATAATACCTCACGACAGGTTCATAAAACAACATAACATATTGCTGTAATTTGCTTTCAAAAGCATGTTCTTGAGAACTTAAGATACGGTCATAAATGACATTAACAGCAGAGATGCAGAAAAGCCACAGCCTTTGCTAAGAGGAAAAAAGAACGGATGGTTGTAAAGAAGCTTCTAAAAGAATAGAACATGTACTTTGGCCTGAAGACCACCATTTGATTGGCAGTACTAAGCTGCAGAAAGGCTCTGAGCAACTCTGTCCCAGGCGCTTTCACTTGATAAGTGATTCCAGGTAAGAGATTGTGGTTGTGCCACTTGAGGTTGCTGCAATAATCAGCACTAGCAGCCATTATTTTGCTTCTAAAGCAAGGAGGGGGGCAGGAACAGCATGCAACCCAACAAACTACATAGACCACCCACATTCTAACAGTGCTTAAACCATGTTTAAAAATTATTTTGGCATTGTAAATTCTTGGTATTTGATCACAACACTCAAAATCTCTTTTCTGTTTTATGGGTCAGTGTGCTGGCCCCCTGACAAATAAGCATGGCTTTTAAATGTAAATATCTAGCCAGCAAAGGGAAACTTTCAAAAATGTCTTTCTTGTGTAATCTAAACAGCTCAATAAGAAAGGCCAGTCAGAGCTTAGGCATCAAGAGAAGGAGCCTTCAATTTTTAAGGTAGTCCTTGTTACAAACCAGTCTTCTGACTTGGAAATAACTTGGTACAAACAATTCTTGGAGTCAAAAACTGGAGAAGAATTAGTTAAATGTATGTGCAATACTGATTATATTTATGTAAGCATAAATGCAAATATATGTTACAAAGCACAATATTATTGTTAGTTTATGAAAAGGAGACTGCCAAAAATTACAGTTAGATGATAATGATGCTATTAAACAGACAAATTACATTTTTCATGGCATAGGACCTCAATATCATGTCCCTACAAAATTTTACTCTTTTCCTCTGGGGACACCATGTGCACACTGACATCCTCACACCTACAAAATATAAATGGCTTGTTTGTACACTACAAAGCCAGTTGTCATACATTGCTAGTGCTATGGTTTACTTCTAAGTTAACCATAATATTATTCCAGTTAGAAAAAACAATTTTCATCAGCTCCAGCCATCCCAATCTACTTTGTAAGTGGTGTTCCCTTGAAGTAAATTATTAATATAGTTAAGATAAATGAAGCACAATTGTTTCATTTAGTGACTTGACTAATAATAACTACACTGAGGAACAGGTATTGTTGCAAATCTGCAGGAAAAAAATGGCTGTGAAGCTGCCAATAACAAAATTGTAAAATCTCATGTTGCTGGGTTTCATAAAATGAACATAGTCCCTTTGGGACCAAGATGAGTGAAATACTCTGATGCTATTATTGAGGCTACCACAGAGGGAGAGGCTAGTCTGATTGGCTCACTGGCCTCCTAACTGCAGCTAAATATATTGCTCCTTTGAAACTTCATATACGGAACATGTAGAGGAAACAAAGCTCCATCAAATCTTTGGACCCTTCAGATTAACACTATTACTGACTAATTCTTGTTTCTAACACTAGAGGAATCTTCCAGATCTAATTAATCTGAGACACTCAGAAAACTCACATCCAACCACCTGGGAAAGTGTTGTTTTCATTCCTCATTGAAGCCGTCCCCATAAAATGACAAGCGATGAAAGTAATGCATTATTTTCCACAGCAATTACTCTAAAAACTTTCAGGTTTAAAAGGTAATGGAAGTCTACTCCAGGCTGCTTGTTTTAAAGTCATCGCAAAGAATTGCACAACAAAGGCAGGGTTGTCTGTTGCATTTTGTAGCCAAAGGATGGTTTTCAATTGCATTCCATATAATGGTCCAAAGAATGTCCACAGAACAATATAAGCGCATGCTGTGTACATGAAGTAACTGACACATGGAGGCCACTTTAAATGGCTAGTGGTCACGCATGTGCAGTCCTTGCCATCAGCACCATCACGATGTTCTCCATGCCTAACCTCCATAAATATCTGGGGTGGGCTAGATGGAAAATCCATGTCACAAGGTTTCCATATGAATGGAAGGGCAGCTGCTATAAGGAACAAGCTAGAGTGGTCTCTGAGTAGGGCCATTTTATTCATCTTTGGTTGTAAGGTTAAATAACATTCAGTTACACTCAGGACCCATTGCTTCTGCCACCAAGAAATCTGGCAGAAGCTCTTGCAATGTCCTTGACATGCCCCCAGCCAGTTCACACCCAAAATGGGTTCAGTGCACAGGGCTGCTTCCTGAACACTGAGTTCTTTCTGGGATTTCCCCTGCTGCTCTCCCTTGCAGACAATGAGTTTGAATGGAATAAGCCTCAGACTGGCTGGGGACCAGGCTACAGCTAACGTCTCAGCAAGAGCAACCTGTTCAACTTGCTCTCATTGAAGGACATTCAACATTTGGTACCCCTGAAAACAAGATTGGGACAACTAACCTGAGTTTTCACCCTGACAGTGTTAGGCAGGCCTCAAAAATGAGCTTTTATTTTTAATGGCAGTTAAATTGCATGTGCCCCCTGCAGGTTATGCAAATTGCTACACTATTAATATGATGTCTATTCAGATAATAAATTGGCACTCTACCCATGAAGAGTTTCATGTCTAATCAGTCATCACTCCACTGGCTCTCCCACAAATGTAACACCACTGCCCCCTAGTGGAGGAGAAAAGTTTAGAAGAGACTCCAAAAGTGGTTGGGGAAAAGTGGAGGGGGGAACAAGGATGAGCGTGGTGCCACCGGAGCCAACACTGCATTTCTTTTGCTATTGTTTGAAGAATTCTAATTATCCTGTATTTTAACAGCTTAGCACTGCCCACAGAGTTTCACAAATAAAAGCTATTACTGCTGCTTCATGCTTCAGCTCACTGATGCTCAGGCCTTGCAAAAATCAAAATCAAAATCGCTCCCTCAAGATTTCATTTCACCTCAAGCAGAAACTTTGTCAAGCAGCGTTCCTCTTGCCTGGCAGAACAACATGGCGCTGGCTGCCAAGAATTGTTTTCAGGTCAGCTGAGTGTGGCAGGACCCACACCAGCACCTCTCGCTGCTTTGTGAACTGCACTACCGCTTCTATTTAGCAGTTCAGAAGTTCAGCCCACTTGGCAGTGAAGAGAGCAGAGAAAACCAAACAGGAAGATAACACAGCCAGCTCACGCATTAGCATTACATGCGACAAGCTGGGAAGCAGCAGCTGGGTCAGGCTGCCAGGCTTTTCTGAAAACCCAGGCCCAGCTAGCCACCTCTTTCTTCCTTGTTAACTTAAGCATAAATTCGGGGACTCTAATCCAAGCTGGCACCCCAGTGTGGGAAGAGGGAGCCTTTCAGCTTTCCACTCTGGAGTCCCATCTGGGGCAGCCCTTCATCCCTCCTTGCCATGTCTGCAAGTGTAGATTGCCAAACAGCATTCTGTACTACAGGACTTAAGAACTCTAATGCGTGCGCTTGGCCCTGATCCAGACTGAGGCAATGGCATGTACTCTAGAATTAACCCAACCAACCAAAAAGATGTAGTTGCTAGCAACATCCTGAAAGTGTGCTTCGGCCATTGGACTCTGAGCAAATGAAATGCCCCCCTCCCTCCCCCGGCACATCTGTACGGTAGCTTGAAGTTTACCTGCTAGCCAAGGCAAACTCAGTGCATCCTGCCACACGTGCAATAGAACCCCATCATTCAAAAGGGAGGCCACTAAGACAACAAAAAGCCCTCCCAAGGGGAGGATGCCCACAGCAGCTCCTTGTTATGTACAAAGGTCTATGCATGCCTAAGGTGGCAAATCCACCCCCTCCCCACACACACACACACAAGTACAGGTCTTCTTACTGTCTAGGGCAATTGCATAAGATGGTCGCCCTTTGCCTCTTAATCTTTAATTGCCAGTTCATTGTGGGTTTCTTGTAACACCTTTGCACTAAAATCCAATTAAGGTCAAGGGCTGTGTATAAATATTTTAAATTAATACATAAATAAAACCAGTACATTTTCCCACCTGCCTGAATGGGGAAATGTTGTTCTTCCAGCAATGTGGCTGACTCTAGTCCTGGAAAGGCCCTGCCAGTGACCTGCTCCCTCATGGACTGAACACAGGAGACTGTAGGCCCACTGCAAGCCCCTCAGCAGCAGA